TAAAATCGCACCATAAAAATTGAGGCCAGATGAAATGCCTCATCTTAGTAAGTTGGTGGAATGTTAATATTCTCTGGATTTGGTTATTACCAGCAGGATCGTTGATAAAATGCACAGCCAATTGAAATGGAACTCAAGGCCTTTATGCACAGCCAGGTCTTGCACTGTGGGTTTAGTTGAAATCTGGGGATGTGCAGAATGGGGACAAGCTACTAGACCAGCAGGTTTCTCCCCCAATTCCTGCTCTTACCAGCAGGCCCACGGCTTTAGCCAGGAGGGCGCTGAACCACTTTTTAGTCCTTCCCAGAACCACATCCTCGGAGGCTGACAACATTCATGGCAGCTTGAGTTACTGCCAGCGGTGAGTGGGTCATTTCTGGGAACGCTGCTTTGGGGGTGGCTCTCAGGATCCCTAAGTGGCACCCACTTCGTGTCCACAGGAGGTGTGGGTTTTATTGGCTATGATGCCAAAGAGGTCCTTACCTGCAAGGACCAGCCTGGGTGGCAGCCAAGCTAGCTTCCTTGGAATGTTTTCCAGTCCTGGAGAGAAAGGCGCCAGTTGAGTCTCTGCAGCTCTGACCACTTCTCCTGAGGTGCCTCTTTGTCTGGTGTGATTCCTGTGCCTGGGACAGAGACCACACAGTCATTTCATCTATGTCACATACTGTCAGGTATGGCCCAGATGGTCAACTCAGTGTCCAAGATTTTATGAACTTGGCTCTTCGGGGAGGCTGCATGCTGTGCTGGTAATGAACGTGGCCCCTAGAGCCAGACTGCTGCATTTGAACCTAGCTTTGCCACTTATTAGCTCTGTCCCCTTGGGAAAGTTCCTTGACTTCACTATGCTTCAGTTTCCTCACCTGTAAAAGAAGGATAATAATAGTACCTGCTTTAAAGGTACTATAAAATGCTTAGCACACAGTAAGCACTTGTGTTAGTTGCATAATAATTATTATGCACTAGGTAGGTAGCATGGCCTGGTAGTTTTCCAAGCTTGGGAAAAGACTGCAGGCTTCCTACTGATAGCCATGTGTGGGTGCGGAGTGTAGGTAGGTGAGAGAGTTGTCTTCTAGAGTCTCCCCACGCCCCTTATATTTTCTTTCCCTTTTCTGGTACCTTCTCTTAACATCTTTCTTACCTGTCTTTTGTTCACCAGCCTGAGATTAAAGAATATGTAGTTGGAAGATCAGAGTCTGTGTCCTGGGTCAGCCACTTACTGCCATGTGAGCCTAGACAAGTTTCTGAACCTCTCCGCGCAGCAGTGGAAGATTCAGGATGTCTCAAGGTCGCCAGGTTATCTCATAAAGATGGGATTAATAGTGGGTGCTGTTACCCCGGGATAATGAAACAAAGGACACACATTGAAAATACCTGGTGATTTTCCACTGGAAACTAAGACTTTACCTGTGAATGTACCTATGTACCAATGAATGTACCTGTGAATGCACTTGACTGTACCTACGAAAGAAAAAAGAGTCAATGTGATTTTTACCCTTCATCTCTACCTTACAGGGAGATGTGTAGTGGGGAAAAGCACCACAGTGGGAGTCGGGAGACCTGGGTTCTGTTCAGTGAGGTCCTGGGTACACAGTACCCAGTATAGAGGGGGAGCCGGGAAGATGGTGTTTCTCTACTACTTGATTCCACTGTATGTAGTGACCCAGGGGTTTCCATTCCCTTTTTATGCATTGCGACCCTGTATCACTGCAGTTGTGTAGTGAGCAAGGCTGTATTATTAGAAGTGCTGACAGTAGTCGTGGCTTGATCATCCATTTCCTGGGGCCTCCATTTCTCAGCTTCTCGTCTTAGAAAATACGAATCTTAAAATGAAATTTTGGTTTCTTACAGCTTTTAATGTGATATGAAGGCATATAATTAGATACACACTGAATTTCCTATCACCCAGTTCCTTTTCTTCATAGTACTTGCTGCCGTCTTTTTTGTTTTGGTTTTGTTTTGTTTTTTTTTTACGTATTTTTTCTTTGTCTCCAATACTCCCATCCCACTCCCAGGCCCCTACCTAGAAAGGAAGCTGAGGAAGAATAGGGACCTTGTCTCTTTTGACCTTCAGTGCTAGAAGAGCGCTTGGCACATTTTAGGTGTTTAACCAATATACACATATGCCCTCATATACAGGTATAACCGCGCATTATAATATAGTTACATAAAATTGTCCTTTTGACTAGCTAGTCAAATGGTTGTTCCTCCCCTATTCCCCACCACAACATACACCACACTGGTATTTGGAGATTAGAGGACTAGAATTAAGAATGGTTATATTGTCTGTCTTCAAACTTACACAGAGTACCACTGCCTGGGTTCTTGCCTTGTGTGTACATATAGTATCAGAGAACAAGAACTCCTCCTATCAGAGGAAGCCCACAGTTTAGGGCTGTGGACACGTGATCAAGCTGGTGATGTCTAGCATAGGGGTTGGATCCGTTTATATACATAGTGGAGGTGGTCAGCAGGAGGCAAAATACAAACCCCAGAATTGTGCTCACACATATTATTGAGATTTCATATTGCTTTTATTATTTGGCCACAAAAATGGACATAATCCTTGTTGGCTTTAACACACCTACTAGTACTGCTTTCACTATCCATCTTGCAAAATATAAGACAAGGCCAGAGCTTAAATTAAAATCCTCAGCTTCTTATCTTCTTCCCACAGGAAAGCAAATCTGTGTTGAAAACCGTAAAATTAAGAGGAGAGCAAGGATAGCATAATTTAGCAAAAATTCATGGCACCAGATTCTGAGCTATATGACTGGAGGGATAGGTCAGACATTAAGAAGATGCTGCCTGCTAATGCAGGTTCCTTAAGGTGGTGCTCTGGAAATAAGAAAGGCATGCAAAATATATATATTTCCAGAAGATTTCTGCAATGCTTACTCTTTATAAGCACTCCAAGAAAATACCTTTGTAGATTGCTTGGCAATTATGCTTCTTATGAGACTTTTGAAATGAGACTCAAAGCAGTTTAGTGGAGTTGAAATGTATTCATTTTAGCATTTGAGTGTTGAGATTTTTGTTTCCATTTTAAAAAGGGTTTGTAATGATATCCTTCTATCCCCACCCCCACCCCACCTCCTGTAGCATTCTAAATTCCTTGTATTTAAGAAGCTCATTCTGTGTATTTGGCAAACTGCATCATTAACACTTGAAAAGCATTGAAACATTTTTCTAACCTTTCACACATTTATATGCATAGATGTCTGTGCTGAGGTATATAGAGAAAAGGCATGGGGCTTTGATAATGGTGCTCTATTTAATAAATGCCCAGGGCTATACGAGCTGTGCAAGTTCTGCCATAGAGACAGGAGCTGATCATACAGGGCAAATCTAGTATGGAAATTATGTCATTGTCTAAAAAAGGGTGATTCGCCCCCCCCCTTTTTTTTTTAATAAGTTTTTTTGGGTGGAGGTTGTAATGATAGGGTATAGAAAATTAGTATTACTAGCTGTAAAGAGAATTAAGTGTTACTAGGATAATTGTTCCTAATTTTCCTGAGGGTAGTCCTTCCCGTTGGAGCCACATACTTTTTATATCTAATTTGTAAAACAAACAAAAACACCAAATTTAAAATTAGTGTGTATGTCAGCAAGTGTGTTATAGGGCTCTTAACCATTCAACATGGACCCACATTTTAAGCAGTTTATACTGTGCAGTTGTCAGGTAGTTCCTCAATATATTTTTTTTTTAATATAGATATTTGCTTCTGGGGAAACAGATTTCACATGTATTTTACTTTATAGCACAGTAAAAATCTCACTGATTCAAACTGGTAAAGACCTGTCTGAACTAGTTACTTAGTGAATATTCAAAATTCATTGTATTTTATTTCTCTTAAATCACAAGTTACTTATTACTGTAGTGTTTGTAAAAATTGAGATCTTCCTGGGACTGCTGTAATTAATGGATAAGTTTAAAACCAGAAACATATTTTGCATGTATATAATTGCATCGAGTTTACTTTCTTTTTTCAAGGGCAGGGGGAGGCAGTGTAGAGTTTATCAAAAACAATCTCCCTAATCAGGTTAAACTGCCTGAGTCTTGTTTACATTACTTGCTTAGTAAGCACTTCCTTTGGTGGTGGGGGGATTAAACTTAAAACAAAGAGATCCCAGATTTCAAATTGGTACAGCCCAAAAAATGACCTGAATCTTTAAAAATATTATTGTTATGTAATTTTAGACTTCCAAATTCAATAATAAAATTTATTTTTAAGCTAATATAAGACCTATAAAATGTTAACAATTTAAAGTGTTCTTTCAGGCCACATTTCCCGTTATGCAGTTAAACTCAAGATTAGAAATTCCCTTTTATCAGTCAAAACTTGTAGAAACTAGAGAACCTGAAGACAAACCGAGTAGTGCTAAAGCATAATGAATGGATGGTCATATTTGATTGACAAAGCTATAAGACATGAAAAAAAATGTTGTAATGTGGTTCTGTAAGATGTACAAACTATAGACTTACAAATTATATACACTAAGGGGATATCAGTACAGAAAATTTATATTGATTGGGTTGTTTAAAAATTTGACCTTCAAATTGGTAATATTCATTTATTTGTTTATTGAACAGTTTTTTGAGTGCCTTTTTATTGCAGACATATGTAGTGAATAAAAAAGAGTTTATAAAACGTTTGTGACTTTTGCTCCAGTAACTCTGGGTTGAACAGTTGAACATAACCTGAGGAGATAATCCAGAAGGTCATAAATATGTATGCACAGAAATTTATGTAATATGAAATAATAATCAACCTAAAAGTCTCATAGGTGCTGATTGAATAACTGATAGTATATGATACCCATATACGTGAGTATTTAACATGGAAAAATTCTGAAGGTGTAATGAGTACAGCAGATGAGTTCAATTTTTCAGGTCTAGAGATGATTCTTGGGCTGTGCTAATGCCCAGTTACTGCTATTTTGTGACTGTTTCTTTGGGAGAGGTGTTCCTATTAACTGTTGACCTTGTGGTTACTTTGCAGTCAAATAAGGTGCCTGTGGTGCAGCCATCACACGCGGTCCATCCTCTCACCCCCCTTATCACGTACAGCGACGAGCACTTTTCTCCAGGATCACACCCCTCACACCTCCCTTCAGATGTCAACTCCAAACAAGGTGAGAGCCCCTGCCTTCCTGGGCCTTTCTCGGTAAGTGAGGAGCCATATCTCATCAGACCAAGTACCTGTAGAGGTGCCTTTGCTGTATGTCACTGGGTGGATCAAAATACATTTGTTTGGTAGGAGTTTTTTCAAAGATTTGTTGTTACTACTTTTATTTTTCAGGATTAAAAAACAGAAGAAGAAAAACATAAAAGGGTTATTTTCAAAGTGACAGCTTTGAAAATCTAGAATCCACCATATAAACCAATATATTGTACAGATATACTAAAAATTCAGTGCTTGGTGCCCCCTACAGTATTCATTTATTGCAGTTGTAGGTGTTGATGGTAGTGTTAGAAAAATGTTAGAAAACAGACAGCATAGGAGATTTTTACTTTGAATGTTCTCTTTTTCATCCTTTTGTGATTTCTTTTGGTTTTAGTCCTTGTTATGTTTTATCCTCTTTTTGTTATTTACCAGCACCAACTTAGATATTAATAATAATTAAAGTATAAAACCATCTCTGTTAAAGTCAAAGTAACATGAATCCTGTTTTGCTTCTCTACATTATTACCCAGTTCTGCTTCTATATTGTTTATAGAAGAACACATAGCATAAGAAGTTTGAAAAATCAAAATGCCCAGGTTTTTTTTTTTTAATTTTTTATATTTGTTTATTTTTGAGAGAGAGTCTGAGCACGAGTGGGGGAAGGGCAAAGAGAGAGGGAGACACAAAATCTGAAGCAGGCTCCAGGCTCTGAGCTGTCAGCACAGAGTCCAATGCGGGACTCGAACTCATGAGCCACAAGATCATGACCTGAGCCAAAGTCAGACACTCAACCAGCTGAGCCACCCAGGCACTCTCAGAATTCCCAGTTTCTAACCTGGTGGGTGTGGGTATGAGTTGGTTGTAGGACTTAGAGCTCAGGTTCTGCAGGCCTTCTGGTCCATTCTGCTTAGAGCATACGTTGAAGATGAATTTGTTTGCCTTTCCTCTTTCCATGTACATACACACTTGGACCTCAACAGGATCTTTAGAAATTCAGAATAAAAGATCCTATAAAACTGTGTGAAAACAGAGAATGTAAAGATGTAAAATCTGCCATCACCGGCATTTCACCCTTTTTTCCAGCCTTATCTTTGAACTATAGTGGACAAGAAAAGTTTAGTAAGTGTGGAAAAAGAGTGGAGTTCAGAGGCTGGGTGTTTTTTCCACTACTGTGAACTCTTGTAGGTTACATCCTCAATGCCTTAATTCCCATCCATTGTTAAAACTGCTTATTTGAGGACTTAGTCACTGTCAGACTTTGGCTTGAGTGGAGCTTTGTACCCTTTACCTAGGAAATGTAAGAATCACCTATGTGGATGTTTCTGGGTTTGCCTTGGTTTTATTCCTCATTTCCAGTCCTTCCTCTACTTCCTTTTATCAAGGACCTCCAAGGAATAAGAAACATCAAGACAGGTCTGAGGATGTATGGTGAGATGGGTATTTTAGGAAGAAGGTGGAGTTTGAGAGGGAAGATCAAGAGTGTGACCTTGGTCATGGTGGTGATTTCAGGTGCCTTATAGACATCTGGAGGGAGAGAGAAGGTAGGTAATTTATAGGTCACCATCTCAGAGTGATATCTGTGCTAGAGATGCATATCTGGGAGCCATGAAGCTATAAATGACAGTTAAAGATAGATATAAAAGCCTCAAACAAGCTATTGGCTCAAAGAATCCAATAGTGTGATTTATTTGGTTTTTAACTATTTATTTAACAATTACATGGTGCTTCCTATGTCCTAGGCCCTATTCTAATCACTTTGAAACACACTTATTTAAAAAAAATAACACATTATGGTTCAGAAGTTTTTTCTTCCAAGATTCCTAGGACAGTTCTATTTTTTAAAAAGACAAATTTATGACTGGCTACCAGTTACATTTGTATTTTGTTTCCATCTCTTCTACTGCCCTACCTTGTTTTGTCTTACTAATTGTAATTTATATCATTGCTTTAAAAAAAATTTTTTTAAACAAACTCTCCAGAACTAGATAAAGAACAAGTGAGCATGATCAGAAAATTGCATTTTCTCTGAAGTTCTTATTTTGTCCCCAAATTTGTGATTTTTGCATTCTACTCTGCATACAGTGTTTGTTTTTTTTCTTAATATAAAGTTTTTTTGTTTGTTTGTTTGTTTGTTTGTTTGTTTTGCTACTTTTTTGTGAGCAAAGAGTTTATATACCTTGTCACCATTTCTCTCTGGGGATATGTAACTTTGGTTTAAAAAGAACTAATTTACGTGATTTGGGGTTTGTATCATTCCACTTGGTCACATTCATCACCAAAACATAAGTAAAAAGCTCACTAGGTCTCTTGCTTTTATTCTCTTTGTCTTCTACTGCCAGTCTTTTTAGTTATATCATGTAGCTAAATTAGTTAGAACATGGTGGTACTGAGGCCAGAGTTGCTAATTTCAAAACTATTGGGAGGCTGGTTAGTTTTATTTAAAAAAAAATAATAATAATAAATAAAAAAGTATTATGTCCATGCTTTAACCATAGATAGAACTATCAAATAAACATATACTGTAGCAGAACTCATTCTCATTTGTAGGAAAATAACTTTAGGTTCGTTTCACAGTAGGAAACACATTCAGTTTTACCTTTCTCTCACCGTGTTGGTGTGGGGTATGTGTGTGGGTATAGGTTGTAGGTGTGGGAAAGGGAAAGGAAGCTGATACCAGTCATTTTCTTCTCATTATGTCTTACGAAAACGTTGCAAAGAAAGAGCTTTTAGGAAATGTTGGCTTTACATATCTGTCTTTGTATTACCCATTGTATCCTTATAAGTAACCACACTCACATAGCACTTAACACTGTGTACCAAGCATTTTTCTGTTTTACATATATTCATGCATTTATTCCTCACAACAACCCCTATTCCATTTTTATACTGATTTTATTTTTTTTAAGTTTATTTCTTTTGAGAGAGAGAGAATGCGCGTGCATGAGCCGCGGCAGGGCGGAGAGGGGGAGAAAGGATCCCAAGCAGCCTCCACGCTATAAGCCCAGAGCCCAATTTGGGGCCTGATCGTACGAACCATGAGCTCATGATGACCTGACCCGAAATCAAGAGTCAGATGCCCAACCAACTGAGCTACCCAGGCGCCTCTATACTGATTTTAAAGAACAATAACAAATAGCTTCCTCAAAGAAAAGTAGCAAGTGAGTGGCATAATTGATGATCCAGGGGCACCTGGGTGGCTCAGTCAGTTAAGCATCTGACTTTGGCTCCGGTCATGATCTCATGGTTCATGGGTTCAAGCCCTGCATTGAGCTCCACACTAACAGCATGGAGCCTGCCTGGGATTCTCTCTCTCACTCTCCCACTGCCCCTCCGCTACTTGTGCTTTCTCTCTCTCGCTCAAAAGAAATAAACTTTAAAAAAAAAAAAAAAAAGGAATTAATAGATCCATATGAGTTTGATTCCAGAATCATTTCATCTGTAATTGTCAGAGTTACTTATAAAAGCTTAAAAATCCTTAAGGCTAAGGGCGCCTGGGTGGCTCACTCTGTTAAGTAGCTGACTTCGGCTCAGTTCATGATCTGGTAGTGTCTGGGTTCAAGGCCAGAGTTGGGTTCTGCTCTGATGGCTCAGAACCTGGAGACTGCTTCAGATTCTGTGTCTCCCTCTCCCTCTGCCTCTCCCCTGCTCACACTCCGTGTCTCTCTCTCTCTCTGTCTCTCTCTCAAAAATAAACATTAAAAAGAAAATCATTAAGGCTATGCTGTGTATAGCCTCTCCTTCACATAGTATTTAGTAAATATTAGTTAAATGAATGATGTGAAATGTGTCTTCAGTAGCATAGCAGTTGGTGGAGATCCACTTCTAGGATCTTAACATGACAATAGGCTGTGTAGAAAACACAGATCCATTTTCTGTTCATGTAATGGCCTAAGCCACACCATGTGCTTGTTGGTATAATGGTTGGCAAAATTGTTGGTAATATTGACGAATGAAGAATGGGTCTGTTTAAACACTACTAGTTCATTTGTTCAGTCATTCGAAAGTATTTATTGAGAACCTCCTCTGGAGACCACCATAGTTTGGAACATAGATTGGTAAAACATGGTCTCTTTTTTCCAAGCAGTATATAAGCTCACACGGAAAAATCATTGGCACAAACTAACTATAAAACAAAATGAAGACCATCTTAAGTACCCTGTTACAAGTACAAATAAAACATTATAGATTCAAACAAGGAAGAAAGATATCTCAGAGCTATAGACATTAGAAGGAGGGGTATTTGAAGTATGAGTGGAAACAGTCAAACTAAATACCCAGCATAGGAACTAGCATGTAGCAAGTGCTAAGTAAATGGTGGTTTCCCCCTTTCTCCTTGGAGCAGTAAAACCAAATCAACCTAGTTTGTATTGTGTTCGTTTGCATCACTCCTGCTACTACAGAATCACTGATGCAGCATTCTAAGTGTGCCTGGAACGTGGACGAGAGCGGAGAGCAGGGTTTAGGCTTGTCTTCTTAGATGTGTGATGACATCAGCAAGTTACGCATGGCTGTGTCCCAGGGGTAAAAGTCCAGGACAATACATATTTTGTAGGTACCTTAACCGGATGCCTAAACAGTCACTTAATCATCCCACACCTTGGTTTCCCCATTTGCAAAACAAAGGATTAAAGTGGACAATTCTGGGGGCGCCTGGGTGGCGCAGTCGGTTAAGCGTCCGACTTCAGCCAGGTCACGATCTCGCGGTCCGTGAG